TGTGTGTGTGTGTGTAAGGTTGCATTGGGAGTCTTTGAATAGGGATTACAAGGAACTGGCCTCTGTTGAGCCGGTAAGAGGGGCCTCCTGGCCGGGATGCTTGGCTTACCTTCGCTCCCAGGAAGGGGTTGGCCCAGCGCCGTCCTGGTCTCTTCCATTCTTGCAGGCGGGCCAGCGCAGGGCGAGAAGGTGAGGATTCTTCTGAAATGCTGGACATAGGGAGAGTGGCAGAAGGGTTCTCTGAGCATATACAAAGTGAATGTCCTGGTTATGAGGAACGGGCAAGCCCATGCAGGAAGAAAGGAGGGGTAGAGCTTCCATAGCTAAAGGCAGTATGCTTTGACTAGTAGCTACTTTCTCAATAGGTTTAGCTGCTTTATCAGCAAGTACTGTAAAGAGTGTGGCGTCCTGGCTCTTATCCCCCCCCCCCGCCGCCCTTGTGCTCTTACCAAAGATACATGGCAAGGTGCCATAGAAACAGGATGCTGGATGAAGACCACCATCCAACACTAGTAAAGAGGGTGAGACCATGCATCTATCATCTTTTTTTTAAAATCTGAAATTATTTCCATGCTGAATTTGAGAAGATCTTGCAAAATCCTTCAAAAACAGAGTGAAATCAGAGGCTCTTCCCTCATTTCCAGGGCTCACATTTAACAGGCACAGCTAGATCCCCAGTGCAGAGAGGGCTGCCCTAGAGGTATTAAAGATGACAACTGCTGGAGGGGAAAGTGGCACAGTTAATAACCCTATTCAGCAGCGGGATAGCTGAATTCACAGGGATTTGTACCCAAACTTTTAAGAGAGTTTTGCACTCCAAGTCCTGGGCCTGAATGGGCTGATTCACCAGTTTTACTTTTGCTTACATTTCAAGATTTTTTTTAAAAAAAAACTGGAGTTATTTCTATTCCCTTTTTGTACCTGGGCTCAAACACCTTCTCCCCCTCCTCCCCAGCCTCTTCTCTTGCAAAGGGAGGGCTACTTTTACAACAAGAAGCAAACAAAGGCCATCTTGCCAGAGGCAAGCCATAGAAAACTCACCAGGCCGGACTCTGACTGAGAATAGCCACCTAATTCCAGCCTTTTTAATAGTACCTTTAACAAGTGTTCTTGGAGAATAAGGCTGTCTGCCATAAATTCCATTTTAACGCCATATGGAGCTTGCAGGTAGCCTGAGAAAGACCCTTCAGGGGAAAACTCACCCCCCCTTTTAAGCCAATAGTGTGGGTCGAATATAAGCCAGGAAAGGTAAATAAAGTAGCCTTATCTGATGGTGTATTCTTACCATACTGTCTTTCTTTCCCAGCATCATTCCTGCTTGTACTGGTCACGCCATATCAATCACGGATATTAATGGGGACAGATCATGGAGTGGTGTGGGGTGTATGCCCCCCTGAATTATGCCCCAACAATACATCCAGTTGTTTTGTGGGAACTGTGCTTCCCCCAACAGTTTAATATACCTTCCCCCTTCAACCTTTGGAAAAAGTGACTTATTCTCCCAGCAAGGGATTCTGAGATTTACTGCATGAAAAGAATTAACTTTCCGATGCTTTGGGCTTTTGGATGGTTCTGTGTTTCCACTCTCCTTCAAAACATTCATCGGCATGTTTTAAAATGCCAGAGTCAGACTAAGCTGGAAAGAACCTCACTGAACTGGAGAGAGAAATGTCAGCTGCTGTTTGTTTACTGGTATCAGTCTTGCTAATTAGAAAAAACAGGAGCACTCCAGGGTGCAGGACATAGATGAAGTGGCAAAACAGACACATTGCATAATGTGATGGTCCTCCTGTTCAGAGTCTCCTTAGGTATGAAACCAGATTATCCCCAGTTCCAGATCCTGCAACACACCAGCAAATGCCTCTGGAACAGACCATTAAGCTACCCTGCCTAAAATACATCCTTTGTTAGGGAGAACACAGCGTCTCCCCTCTGTACCTTGTTAAGGCAACAGGTTCTGGAGCACTGCTGAATGGCTTGCCCTCCTCTTCAAGCAAAATTTTAGTCATGTAGAACAGGAAAGGCTACCGACAACAATAAGGGTGCAGAACTGAAAAGGCTCCATAGAGAAACGGGCCCATTAAAACACACAAAAAGGTAACATGACCCTGGAGGCTGGTATTGTAAGAGTTTTCTGAACTAGGGAGCTGCCAGAGACAAAACTTGGTTGATGGATTCCCTGAACTCAGCTGGAGACACAAGAGTGTGCTTTTTTCAAAGGGAAGCCGTTTAAGGAGGAGCACATCCTGTTACAAAACAGGACCCTCACAGCCCCTCTTCTAAGATTACGTACCTACAAAATGTCTCGTTAAAATCCTGTTCGGTAAAGGGAGGGCCGAGTTGGCCCGCCTGTCTCTGCTGCGCTTTCTAGCTTCTCCTCAACGCTGGACCAGGCTGCTTTCAGGTGAGGCTGGGCATTAACACGCCAACAAGGGCTAGCTGCTTTGTAGAGGTGGGGTGTGAAGGAGAGCACCCTTTTAAAGGAGCAAGCCGCCCCCCTGCAAAGTGTGGCGTGTGTGGCTTTCGGCTGGAAGGAGCAGGACATGAACAGCCTTCTGTCCCGAGGACCCCGGGTGCCCCCCTCAGAAGGGAATCAGAAGGAAAGGGCATGCGTGCCTTGGCCAGTGGGGTTGGGGGGCAAGGAAGGATGGCTCACCAGTCAATTCAAGTCTGCTGGGAACACAAGAGTCGGGGAGCGATGGATGGTTTGTAGATGATTCATGTTGGCCTACCATCATACTTCCTTAAAATAGTGCATGCTTCATATTCAGCCACAATACCTCTCACTGCTGGAAAACATCACATCATTGGACTACAACACCCCAAATCCTCCCCCCACCCACAAGCTGGGTACTTGGTTTACTGGCCTCCGACGGATGGAAAGCTGAGTCAACTCTGAGTCGGCTACCTGACTAAACTCAGGCCATGAGCAGAGTCTTGACTACAAATCCTCCACCCACCCACAGACTGGGTACTTGGTTTACTGGCCTCCTAAGGATGGAAGGCTGAGTCAACTCGGAGTCGGCTACCTGACCGAACTCAGGCCATGAGCAGAGTCTTGACTGCAGTTTAACCCTTTGTGCCAGGAGGCTTCTCAACCGCCCACTAAAGTAGGACTGAAAAAGGGCAAGCTTCTGAATCCTTCAAGGCTCCTCATCAGACTGGACACTGCAGGGGGTAAACGGAACAGAAAAGTTCAAAAAAACAAGCCAAAGGTCTTCAAACAAGAAACAAGAATGAAAAATTAAAGAAGACAAAAACGTGGTGGTACTTTCGAGACTAAATGTTCTATTTTACGGTAAGTTTCTGTGGATCAAGTCCACTTCCTCAGACACAAGAGTGGGGCTACGTGGCTGTCATTTAGACATGGCCCAAGATAAAAAGACAGTGGTTGGTTAATAGTAGACACAAGTTGCAAAATGTGTGAGTCAATGTGGCATTCTGCATATTTACTAACGAACCATTGTTTTTTCTTCATGACATCATCACCTTCTTCTCATTTCATCCTATTGGCCGTTGCCCCATAAGGAGAAATTCTTTTCACATCTCATCATTATTTACAGCTCTCAAATATTTGCTGGTCCTTATCATCTCCTCCCACTTTTGATAGAATTGCTTTAGCAAACTACATGGCAGCTGGGGGTTTTGTTTTCATTTGTGAGTCAAACCTGGGGATTCTGGAATGCTGCCTGATGCTTCCTCTCCCTCTCCTGTTAGATGAGCATGGGGATCTGAACTCAGAGTCCAAGGGCAAAAAATCCCACAGAAAGCTAATTATTAGAGATGAAATCACTTCAGTGTTCTGAGTCTGTCCTTCTGTGCTGAAGGTGATCATGTATCTAGAAGCAGTGCACCATTTAGAGTGAAAAAACAGTCTGTTCTTACAGAAGCTTGCTTTTGTCTGTAATTGACAAACTGGTTTGCTTCCATTCTGGTCAATTTGGAAAAGAGGCAGCCAGGCCAGTGTCTTCTGTCAAGAACAGTGCCCATCTTAAGCTTCCTGCAGCCCAGACTTTAAGGTTTGCTGAGCAAGCAGCTAAGGGGAGATGCAGAAAGGCTATTAAAATGCCTCCTGCCAGCCTCAACAGACTCAGGTTTCTTAATTGGTCTCTGGGAAAAGGCATGATGGGGGCCAGCGCTTGTTCTGGACTGAATTTTAGCCGATTGTTCCCGGACTGTGGTCCGGCGGCTGCCAATGAATTAGGACGCTTGGCAGCAGCTAATGGGCACTTAAGCTGACCAAAGCACCCCTGCATCTGGGAATCTCTCCAGCCCCGCTGAGGGCAGAACTGCAGAATTTGTTTTCGCTAAAAAACCCCAGGGCACGCAGTGCTGCGATTGCCGCCTTACGGCCTCCTTGGGAAATCAGGAAGCTCTGTTTTTGCTTTAGGGCATGAGATTTTCAGCTCAAGGACGACTGGGTTGCTGTAAACAGATCACTCCAGCAAGGTCAACAGACCTGCAAAGCTGCTTTCTCTCTCGGGCGGCCTCGCTCCCGCCATGTATCGCTCTCCCTTCATATACAATTACTTGCATGGACTACAGCTTCCAGCTTCCTCAGCTGGGGGGGTTCTGATCTTTGTAGTCCCCGAAGCAGAGGTGGCTTTCTTTTAAAAGGAATCTCTTGTCTTTAGGGTGGTTGCTGTCCTTGCTCTGATCCTTACCAACAAGTCAGAAATAGCCCTGGGAATACTCTCTGGTTCTCTTGTAGCTGACACAGCACTTACAATGGATAAGATAAGGGCATAAAACCTGGAGAATTCCTCTCAAAACGCCTTCTAAAAAGTGACTTTCAGGACTGTGTCCCACACGTTACTATCAAAGCACTGTAACTACTAGCTGCGTTGCTCCTTGCCCAAAAGCAACTAATTACATTTAGCCACGTTACTTGGAACTAGTTGCTCCCCAAAAGTAACTTTTCCAAGTAGTATGTGAGACAGGTGGAAGTTTGAACCTCCGAGGAAACTTCTGCAAGTATTCCTTGACAATTATTAAGAACATAATAATTAAGAAGAGAGAAATGAGAAGCAAGCACTGGTTAAATGGTTATATTGTTGTGCTTTGAGTGTGAGAGACGCCTACCTATCTCCCCCCCCTGCCACTACCAATATGGCAGCCACGCCCTTCCCTGCCACTACCAATATGGCGGCCACGCCCTTCTCTGGCTGTATTTTTCAAAGCCACTACCAAGATGGCCGCAGCGCCTGCTCGAAGGAAACAGGAAAGCGTTCCCATTGGGCGAGGCGGGCGGACGTTGGCCAATGAGGTGACAGGGCGCGCAGGACCGGGGGAAAGGCTTTCGCCCCGAGCAGCTGCCCGCTCGCCCGCCCGGTCTGGGATGGAGGCCGCGGGGGAAGGCGGCGGGGGAGGCCGGGCCCTGTCCGCGCTCCTGGGTAGGTGGCAGCGATGGGAAGGGCCCTCTGCATGTGCTCAGAGGCCCGCTTTGCCCGCCTGAGGAGGGAGCTGCACTCTGCCCATGCCCAGAGGCTCGCTTTGCAAGGGAAGCAGGGCTCCCCCACTGCGGGGAGCTGCACAGGCAGTTCTTTTATGCTCAGAGGCTATGCTCAGAGGTGCTCCTTTGGCAAATGGTATCCAGTTCACTCCGGGGTGGGGGCAGGGAGAGTGGACTGCACTCTGTCCATGGGCAGAGGCTTCCTTTGCTAGGAGTGCAGCCCTTGCCCAGTGAGGAAGGAGCTCTGCTCTGTCTATGCTTAGAAAGGACAGCCCCTTCCTGGGGGGGGGAAGCTCAGCTACCATCTGTGAACGCTCAGGGATTCTCTCCTCAAAGGATGCCGTGTTTGCCCACTGTAAAGCCCTCTGCTCTTTGCCTATGCTCAGAGGCTCCCTTTGCAAGCAATGCAGCCCTTGTCTGGTGAGGAAGCAGCGGCCACTTGCGGGTGTCTCTTCCCTAAGTGTCCCTTACCTTAAGTGGAAAAAGTGCTGTTGCTGAGCCCTTTGGGGCCCTTGCTCTGTTGTAAGTGGTAGAAAAGCAGGCCTTCTGCCTCCCCCCCCTCCGCCCCCATGTTAGGTAGAGAACAGGGCAAGGCAGGGCTGGAAAACTGCTGCCCATCCAGCCCATCTCATGCTCTTAAACAAATGTAAGATGACCACTTGTACGAATTCAGGTATTGGTCCTGGTTCCCTTCCAAGGTCTGGCTGCCTGAATCCTGATCACTCCCCTCCGAATTTGCCTCTTGAGTACACCTGCTTTGGGGACTGTACTGTTTCTAACAACTGGGAACCTTTTCCCATTGCCTGTAAGGATGCAATGACACCCATCAACCCGACTTGGTCCAATTCACTTGAAATATCGTTCCTTGGTTTCTCGGGCCAGTATGTTTATATCCCTTTTTTTTCCTAGCGGCAAGATCGAAAAGGCGGAAATGTGCACCTAAAACCCTGCAGAAGCTACAGGAAGAAGCGCTGCATCTTTTGAGCTGCCATCAGAACCTGGATGACCTTTTGCTGGAAGTAAATGAGGAAGCGAGATGGGAATACTTGAGATTCCCTCCCCTCTTTTTTTTTTTTTTTTGCACTTCTTCTTTAAATTGTGCAGTCCTATGTTTTCGTTATGATTCAGACGCCAGTTGCAAGGCGCTCTTTCCTAGTAAATATCTGGGGTCAGAGTATTCCTGTAAATAATTTCAGTACTGCTCCGTATCAGATTTTTCTTTAATCATAAATTGGTTTTCTGTCCTTTTTAAGTGCTTAATGGCAGAGAGAGAGAGAGATGCCAAATGCTTTATCGACATTTTCTCTCTCCCTTCTGCATGATTTTGTCTTGTGCGGCTGAAGAGTGGGCTTGAACTTTTAAAATGCACATAGATTTTGACTTAACTTTTCTTGACTCCCATTACAGGCTTCCTGTGCCCCCTCCCATTTTTTGTTAAAGGATTTTATGATGATATTTCAGTTCCAAAGAAGCACTACTTTCCCCCCCGGACTCTTAAAAGTGCTTTGTTAATAACATTTGAATGTTTTAAAATGGTCAGAACGTGGCATCTGAGTATTTGGCCCACGTGTTGTGTAACGCGAGATGATCATTTCTCTCCTTTCGGTTTTCACAGGTGGGAAGTTCAGTATGCGATAAGCCACCCCATCCCACTATTTCGAGCCCAGCTGGCGGAGAAGCTTCAGTTCCGGGTCTACTCGTGGGTGCGTAGTTGAAGTCGAGGATGGGTGCACACTGAAGTCAATCTTTTCCAGCCAGCCCAATATTTTCCACCAAAATTGTGGGCAAGAGATGTCTGGAAGTTTTTTGGGTGGTGGGAGGGATTGATTTTTCTTATCCATTCAGTTGGAGAGGCTGAAAACTGGAGACATTTAAAAGCAAATGATGTGCTCTGTCTGGAAATATCCTCTTCTTCTCCATTCTCCTCCCTTGCCTCGTTTGCTGTTTCCTGGCCAAATTTTAGGAGGCATCTTATAGGCATGTGTGCCAGGGTGGCCAAGCCCAAGGCTGACTCAGCCATCCATCCTTCTGAGGTTGGTAAAAGGAGTCCCCGGCTTGCTGGAGGGGTGGGGTGGGATGGGGAGCAAAGCGCTCCCTGCATGATTATGTTGTGAACTACTCAGAGAGCGCTCAAGCGCCATAGAGTGACACAGAAGTCAAAACAACAGCAGCAACAAATCCTGTTGGCTGTTTATCCCAGCATAAGTGCAGTGATATAAATTGCAGGAGTGAATTTCCAGGAGTTCAGCTGTTGCTTGAGTTGTTTGCCACACCCTGAGGAGTACGAGTAGTAATTTGTTACCTACCAGCAATTCATCACTGTAATTTATACCGTTGCATTTACGCCATCCTACATAACGGATAGGATTCCACCCAACTGAATAAAGCCATAGTGAGACATAGTCTGTCTTTGCTTTCATCTCATGTTCAGAATTCTTGTTATGGTTCTGTCCCTCCTTCCTTGTCGTAGTTTCAGCCTTGCAGGATCGGGCCACTACACTGGGGGTGCCAGTAGGAATCCTATCAGCCAGAACAGCAGCTAACAATGTTGGGAAGATATTTGCTGAGGCCGGGGACGCTGTGCTCCTGAATGCAGAGCAGAGAGTAAGACAACATTTTCTTTTTTCCATGTATGACATGAAAAGATACTCAGTGCCATGTCGTGGATGGAGTGATGGACTAGGACTTGGGAAGTCTGGGTTCAAATCCTCACTCAGCCATGGAAACTCTCTGGGAGAGTGGAACTAATAAAGCCACTCCTTAAATATCTCACTGGCCCATAAAGCCCTATTAGGGTCACTTTAAATCGGTTCTGACTTGATGGCATGCAACAACAACAACACACAACATGATAGGAAACTCTAGAAAACTTTGAAAAGGTCGGGATCAACTTGACGGCTCACAAACCAGTCAAATCGCAGCACTTTTTCTTCCCCCAACAGGAAAAGTTGTCTTGCTTGCTGCAGACCTTGAATGATTTGTTAGCACAGAATGCTTTCTGCCGTTTGCTGTTTGCTCAAGAAATGTGGAAAATGCAGGTAAGATGGGCAAAGCTTTTGGCGAAAGGAACCATCTCAACATAACATTATTGAACAGAAGAACGGATCTGATTACTAGGCGCTTCTCGTGTCACTTTCGGTGCACGAATGCAGAAAAGCAACTTTAAACTTATGGAAAAATGCAGGATTCTTCTGACACCTGAAAATATATTTATTAGTATTACTTTTGATGCACGAATGCAGAAAAGCAATGGAAAATGCAGGATTCTTCTGACACCTGAAAATATATTTATTTCAATAGAAGTCAGTAACAAAGTCAGTCCTGAGAGCTAGTCTCCTGAACTCTTATGCCCAACTTAAATGCGGCTTTAGATTCACAGCTTGACATACATGCTTTTGAGCGCATCTGCATTATTCAGTTTGACGGCGGTTTTACTGTGGAGTTTCAGATTTGTACAGTAGTCTGGGGTTCTTATAATTCTGTCCTGCAGTTCAGAGAGTTTGATGGTGGTTTTATTGTGGAGTTTCAGATTTGTAGTCTGGCTTCTTATAATTCTCTCCTGCAGTTCAGGGTTTAGCGCTTCAGTTCTTTACCACGGTGGTTCTCAAACGGATCCCCCTGATGTTCTTGGATCGCAACTCCTAGAAATCCTGGCCAACACAGCTCAGTTTGACGGCGGTTTTACTGTGGAGTTTCAGATTTGTACAGTAGTCTGGGGTTCTTATAATTCTGTCCTGCAGTTCAGGGTTTAGCAGTTCAGTTCTTTACCACTGTGGTTCTCAAACGGATCCCCCCGATGTTCTTGGACCACAGCTCCCAGAAATCCTAGCCAACACAGCAAGTGGTGAAGGCTTCTGGGGATTGCAGTCCAAGAACATCTGGGGACCCCAGTTGGAGAACTACTGCATCTAGCAGAGAATATCGAGTCCCTTATGGAACTACGAATCCCAGGATTCCATAAAGCCATGGAACCATGAGGTTTTAATCACTCCTATAAGTTGTGTAGTGGAAATGCACTTGCAAAGGCTGGCTTAGTGTTGTGGTTTACCCTACTGTGACGCCAGTGTCCCCCATAATGTTCGTACTTGCCAGGTCCACTCAGAGCAGTCTTTGTGCCGGCTGTGTGTCAGGTTGTGAGCAATTTCTAGAGGAAAGGGGGACCCTCAGAAAACCACAGAGATCATTCCCATCAGACACTGAGTCTTAAGCAGGCGACTGGTTTGTTTGGCGACTGCTGTTGCCCCAGAGTGTTACTCTGCCAGGTCTGTAGTCTGATCACTGCTTTGTTCCCCTTAGAGCCCACTCTTTCTGGAAGTCGCTTGGCATCTGCACAGAGAGAATGTCGTTAGCTTGGAAGACCTGCTAGAAAAGTAAGTGGAATGCCAGGCTCAAAAAACAACTGCAAGCGCTGGTTTCAGGATGGTTCATTTGGCTGGGTTTTTTGATGGCCGGGGGATAGGCGGACGGTTACCCCTGAACAGAGCCGATGATGTAAGTGACTCTTGCTTCCCTGGTTTCTTCTCAGGCATCCAGATGAGACTGGCTTGGTGGAGTGGTTGAGTAGCAGCCTTTGTCTTCTGTGCCATCGGGCCGAAGATCTTCCCTCGGCAGCCGGCCCCCTGGGGAGCATGCTTACAGGCAAGCACTGGCCTCCCGGGCTGGGGCAGTTGCGGGCTGTGGCAGAGGTCAGCGTGGGTGGAGTCAGGAAGCAAGGGGCTTTGTATCCGACGGCAGCGGCACTGGTTTATAGGCGAATGTACAGGGCCTTGCAAGCCAGGAATGCAGCCCGGCTCTTTCTCTCCACCCGCTTCGCTGGATATTCTAGGCCTTGATTGTCTCTCCTGACGGCCTGGGAGGTGCACCTCACACTTCCTCGGGTCGGGCCGGTTCCAAATCCAGAAGATGCTCGTATCCGCCATGGCCAGCCTCTCAAGGGAGTGTCAGGGTTCTTGGCTGGTGTTCCTCCAGGGCATATCAGCCTGTGCACAGTCCCCAGTTATATGTGGTCCCCAACTCCCAGCGCTCAATGGGACCCCCTCCCTCAATGAGCGTTGTACCTGGCCATTCTTCTTGACTTCGGCTGGAGTATTTGTTTCTTATTGGCAGCGAATGGATGCAGAGGAGATTGGTGAAATGTGAAAACAGGATATCAGAAGTTCGTTTCTGTTCTTGTTCTTGAATAATATAGATTGGGAGTCGTGGGACCACTGAGCCTCTCCTTGTTTTTCTCATTAAGCCTGTCTGTGGCCACCTTCGCTACTGGACGGAGAGTCCTTCTGTCCTGTACAGAAGGGCTTTCAGGCCGTTTTTGTCGCCTTCCTTCCTTCCTTCCTCCCTCCCTCCCTCCCTCCCTCGTTCTGTTCTGATCGGTGTTGTCAACCCTTTGATGTTGGCTTTGCTCTTGCTTTTTAGACTTTGGGATGGTGTTCCTTCAGAACAGATTTAAGAAAACCCTTGAGCTGCGAAAGAAGCTGGAGTCCCAGAAGCTCTCCAAAGTAAGGAGCGAACCAAAGTTCACCGAGGATCGTGAGTTCTAGTCAAACAGTGTCTGTAGGACTGGAAGGCGTCCACTCCTGTCAACCAGTTCCTACAAACAGTGTCCAGCTGGACTCGGTCTCCAGGGTAGACTTGGAAGTCTTACTGGGAGTGCCATGGCTTCTGGTGGGTATACACAACACAAACCCAAACGAACCCCTGTCCTTGCTTAAGGCGGCTTCCCTTCCTCTTAGCTTGTGCTGACAAGGCAATTAAACAAGGCATTTTGGGGCCTCCTGGGTGAATCTGGGAAGTTACTAAAAATTTGTGGAGACTTGAGAGAAGAGCAACGTGTGTGTGTGTGTGTGTGTGACAGGGAAATGAAAAGCCTGAGCGGGCTTCCTCGTTCTTTTCCTTTCCCCAACAAAAGGGGACACGTTCTGAAGTGCCAAGAGGGCATACATGCCTGTCACTTTACTTTTTTAAATTTAAAGCATGGCTGGACTTCACTTTCACTCATTGGCAAATACATTGATCCTTATGTTAGGAATCGAGAGAGCAGGGAAGTGTTTCAGTTACTTGAAGAAACCTGCTGAAACACCTAATGACAGTCTTTCTCTCTCTGTGTTTGTTTTTACAGGTCAGCTGTGCTGTACTTGAGCGAATGTTGGCATGTAAGTTGTAGAAGTCCCTTGCACTGGGAGATATAAAGCAGAAATGTATGTTTGCAGCAGACGTACATTTGTGTTTGACAGGGTTAGATGTGTTAACTTTTCTACTGCTGTTGTAAAAGTCCTGTAGGGCTGACAGACAGACAGACAGACACCGTACAGGCACCTAAAGATGGCTCATCCGAGAGAAAGGCCTAAAATGGGAACGCATACAGCTCGGCCTTGGTCTGCCTAGTTTCCTTTTCAGAAAGAAAACTCCCAGGTAGCACCAGGGCAGGAAGAGGAAGTGTAGGCTGAGCTAGGCCTAGCTAGACCCCAAAGCCTTCCAGTCGAGGCCTTTCTCCCAGGTGAGCCACAGTTCGGCGTCAGCTATCTCCCTTACCGCTCAGGATAGCATGGGGAGGGACCAGGCTGTAAATCTTTAGTCTCTGGGTCTCATGATTTTTTTGGTGGTGAAGTTGGCCGTCTTTTGGTATTCGTTGCCACGCTTATGTGCTGGCGCCGTTCCCTTCAGAGGCACTTGTGCAATAAATGTTCCTGGTGGATCTTGTGCTCCAGCTACTTCTAGCACATAAATACTAGGTCACCTAGTATTTCAGTATTAAGGCACATTCCAAAGTGGTTCAAGGTCAGGGTTAATTCTCTCTCTTTCTCTCTCTCTCTGCCACTTAAGAAAATGTTCATCATAGTTTCCGCATGTGATGAATTGTCTCTTTTCCCCAGTCTCCTAATGAGGTCATCCTCTTAAAGAGTGCACATAATCCACACACACACTCTCGTATATGGTTTTTTCCATTAGCAGTTTCAGTCCTCTTTAGCCTCATTCTGCCGTTTCTCACCTGCTCAGCTTTTGTTTCTTTTTAGGGGTGCTTGATTCTGTAGCTCAGGAGAAGCAGGAAGAGGCCTCCAAGCTGAAGGCAGTGAAATGCTGGTGAGCCCCTGAGCACTTCGCCAAGGCCTGCCGTGGGGTGGATGATTCTGAAAGCCCTTGAAAAGATAACAGGGTGTGTGTGTCGGGGGGGGGGAACACTCCTTATCTAAGTTTCATGGAGAGTATCTTTCAGGTTTTCTCCCCCTTCCATCCCAAAGATGCTCAAAGCAGGGTCTTCAGTTCCAAACTGCATCTCATATCGTTCCTTTTTGTTTCCATTTAAGACTTTTTTTTCCATATAAAGAAAATATATATATATATATATATTTGGTGTATGTTGCTAAAATAAAAGATAAATATTGACGTACGTTTTGACAGCTTTCCAGCTGTGTCAATTCAGTGACAAAATTGGAGCCATTAAACGGCCGCTTGTGCAATGATGAGTCACGGCTCTTACCTTAAGCTCTTAGAGGTTTCTCCCCCTCTTTCTCTTTTCAGGCTGCACATATTCAGCGTGACAGCCTACCAAGGCAGAGTTCCTTCCGAGGCTTTGCAGGGGTTCTTTAGCCATACCTTGACTCAGGTTCTCACCTACAACCCTCAGCTAAAAGGTAGGAGTAGAGAGGGAGAGAGGTGAGTTTGTGGTGTCGTGTGTGGCTCTTTATATACCCATAGCTTAGAACAAGGACTTCTTTAAAATCAAAACTCCCCGTGTCCTTAAACGAGCATAACCAAGCCTCAGAGCCCCAAATTTTCATATATTTTTTTCAGCATAAAAAATGCATTCCCTGGCTAAGAGGACCCCTGGGAATGGGGTCCTCTCAGCATATGCTGGCAGGGAGACGAAGTAGGGCCCCACTTATTATTCCTGCCTGGAATGCCTCCAGCAGCCACCGATCAGCCTCCTCCCGTCCCTCCTGGGCTTTTGATCCAGGCTCCATGGGTGTCTTTGAACAGCCTCCCCTGCTTGACGTGGCCCTTCAGAGGGGGAACTCCAGAGACGGGTTCAAGGTTGGACTGAAAAAAGGAGCCGGATGACAGCAACTAGAAATGTGGAGTTTCCTCTTTGGTAGAGGATTCTGGGAGTTGTGCCAGAAGTAACTTACAGCTATTTAGGCAGCCTGTGGCTAAGCCTTGGCACCGTGGGTCAGAAGCCAGTCTGAATATTTCTGTACGTCTGCAGTACGGCTCTCACTGTTCTGTGCAAACTGTTCCCCCCCCTCCCCTTCCTGTCTCTCCAAACACAGTTTCCGATGCCGTTCATCTGCAGAGGGAATGGTGCTTTGCCAGAACCAGCCCGGTGCTCACCATGTTGTACCGCAAAGTAGGTCCGCTTGCGGGTCTGAACAGGAAGGCTTGGTATCTTAGCGAACGTCCGTCTCCCTTTTTCTTCCAGCTCGTAATCCTTCCCACAGCTGAGCTAGCAGAACTGTCTCCCTTTCGCAGTTTCTGCGAGGGTGGGTAGCCGCAGAGCCCCCCCCCGAGGGCCTCACATATGCCCTCTTTTCCATTCCCTCAGACACCTAAGGCTGCAGCCGCCCATTTTTGAAATAAAAATAATAATATTTGTTTGGAAACCAAACGTGACCCCGAAGTTCACTTTTCGTTTTGCAAAATGAAAGCTATTTGGGGTCCATCCCAAGATTTTTAAAAAAGAGCCATAAAATGGAGACTGGTTCCCCTTACTGGCCTCTCTTGTGAGTGTGATTGTTTTTCTTCTTCTTCTGGTTTCGATTTCCTTCTAGCTGTTTGTGTTGTTCAAACCTGAGGAGCTGGTCCATCATTTGCAGAAGGTCCTCGAGACGAGCGAAGTCAACTGGCATCACGTCCTTTCCTGCATCTCCACGCTGTTGGTCTGCCATTCTGAAGCAGAAGCCCTGGTCAAAGGTAGATACTGAGTCTGGAGGCAGTCACTAGAGCAGCAACACACCTCCTGCAGCCACTCATGGTCCACAGAATACCTGAGGGCTTCACACACCCCGTTTTCCACTCCCCTTGACCCCTTATTTTAGGAATGCAGGCATAGACTAAAATAACCAGCAGGACCTACAAGCTTGCTAGCTCAGCAGTGCGGATAAATACTGGATTTTCTGCCAGTGGTTCTCAGTAGGAAGTGGCTGCTTTTGCTAACTTTCCAGTCTCAATATTTTTATGTTGAAACATGTGTGTGTGTGTGTGTGTTTCCATTGTGATTGCTGTTCCTTTTGCTGGAGGGCTTATGTGTTCCCGTGTAGGTCTCAGATATTTGCAGTGCGGTGTTGGGCCCTATTCTGTAGGAGATGACGTCTCCCACTGCTTTTGAAAGTTGGGAGCAGAGTCTGGAAAGGATACTGTTAAAGACGACAACTCCCAGAATCCTGAGCCTGCATTCCTGAACTCTGGCCCTCTCTGGCATAAAAAGTTCAGTTTCCCCGCTTTTATTACCTGCATACGCGCCAGCGGTCTGATCCACAGTCCCAAATCTGAACTGCCAATGATGTGACCCTTGAAATGACGGCCATGCTGTGATTTTGGCTATAGAGGTTCCCCCCTTTCGAGGTGTAAGGAGCCAAGGAGGTGTTTCTCTGCCTTTCGTAGACTTCCTGGGCCGTCTGTTGAGAAAAGCCTTTGAGGATTATGACCTGGAAAACATGGTCACGGCTTTCCTGATCGTCCGCCAGGCGGCCTTGGAGGGCCCTGCCATCTTCGTGCCTTACTCAGAATGGTTCCAGGTAAAGAAAACACAAACGCAAGCTTCGGGGAGGAAGCCCACCCTCCATGTTTCTGCCCCTTTACTGGAGTCTTGATTGCTCAGCCATCTTCCTCATTCTTAAGGCCGATGGTTACTTCTTAATGAATTACTTGAATGGTTTCTATTTTTGCTTGCCCTTTGTTATTTTATTTTTTAACTGCGAGGTGGGTTTTTTGGGGGTTTTTTTGCAAACTGCTTTCAGGTTTTTCAAGTGATAATAAACATGCCTTCAAATATATGAAAACAGAGACAGAAATGTCTTGCGGGTGTGTAAGGGGCCAGGGTAAGAAGACTCCCCTGCGATGCCAGATGCCTGGACCCGGAGACAGTTCACATTTTGGCCGGATGGATTGTCAGCAGCCACAGAATAAAGCTGAATAAGCAGAGTTGGAAAAGGGCAGGGTTAGTCATGCAGAGCCTCCCCTGTCAGAACGACAAGGGAGATGTCAGTGGAAAAATTCTGGCATGCAAGCCTAGGATGGGTAATGCCTTGCCCCCCCCAAGCTGTCCTTCAAGTGCACCTCCTGTGAGTGCTAGCAGACATGATTTTGTAGGGAGAGATGATGGGAGCAGGGGAGCAGCATCAACGGGAGGGCCATGCATTGGGGGCATAACCCCTGTACAATGAAAAACCAGGCAAGGAACTGGTTTGACCAGTGCTTCTGAGAAGCATCTTCAGGAAGAAGCCTGGTGCTTCTTGACCAGCGGGGTGTGTGTGTGCTTCCCCCAGGAGAATATAAGGATTTGAAAAGAGGCATTATGTATTTTAGGGGGGGAAAATACACTACTGTTATTTCAAAATCTGGAAGTGAGTCATGACCATTGATACCCATGGCTCTCTTATTGCACAGGTTATATTGTGTTTTTTTTAATTCAGCAGTGCACTTAACTTTGTTAAACCTCTAAATTTAGAAGGGGCTACAGACTGAAATGCTCCCTTCGAAATTTGCAAAAGCTTTGATTGTTGTTGTTGTGATGTTTTCCCATTTCCCATATAGAGTAGTGGGGTTTGGGTGGGTTTTTTTTTTTAAGGGGCAGTGCGATTGTAGGCTGTTCACTGAGTGCTAGATTTCCGTAGTGTTGAAGGCAGAAAGGATGTTTGCTGGCCAGTTGGGTTTCTCCCATTGCTGCTTCCGTGTCTCTTTCCCAGGCTGCCTTTGGGAGTCCCAACGGCTTCCACAGCACCAGTAAGAAGGCCCTGGTCTTTCTCTTCAAGTTCCTGACAGAGCTGGTCCCTTTTGAAGCTCCACAGTATTTGAAGGTAAGGAATGGGCCAGGTTGAACTGCTCTTTTCCATAACATTTTCCCCTCCTATTTTTAACTGCTGCTCACTTGCAGGCTTGCTTGAACTTCCAGGGAATGTGAAACCCTCTTCCTGGACACATTTGCGATAAAAGAAGAGTGCAAATCTTGTGAAGCCAACCTTGTTTGGGTTGGCCAGGCCTCCTCCTTGCATGTCCTGGGGAATGGAGTTCCCCCTGCAGAAGGGTTGGCCCAAGTGAGGGAGCCTCGGTGGCCAAAGCAGCCTGGATGAAGGCGGCTCAGAGCTCATTACCTGGGTTCAAAGCGGTGGCAAAGGAAACGGCCCTTCCGTCTCCGGCTTGCTCTTCCAAACTTTGGCTTTGCTCTCGGCTTGGTGGTGCAGTTTGGAAAACAGCAGTCCCAGTGGGCCTTGAGAAGCCTGCCCCCCCCCCAGGGAAAGGGGAGGACGGGAGTCACTGGGGGGCTTGACCTGACTGTCCTTCGAACTTCCTCTTAGGTGCACATCATGCACCCTCCCTTTGTGCCGACCAAATACCGTCCTTTCCTCCTGGAATATATCGCTCTGGCTAAAACCCGGCTGGCTGATTTCAAGGTCAGTGGAGAGAACGTTCCCTCTTCTCAAAGGCCAGCTTCTCTAAAGGAGACGTCGCTGCGTCTCAGGTGTCTAGCTGATCTCCTTGCCCCCTTCCAGATGTGCACAAAGTCTGGGGGAAAACCCCCTACATTTTGGGGAGTTCAGCTGCCGGCTTTCGTCCAAAGAAAAGCCCTTCAGCCCCTTCTTAGCTCTTGTGGCAGTGGAATTTCTGTGGGGCTGAAATGGCACCCCACCTCCCTTTCAGCCTCGGGAAATGGTTCTAGGGATGGTCTCCAAAGGATGCTTTACACCCCCAGTCCTTTTTCCTTAACACCCCTCCCCCAGGTATTATTCTCTTGTGATGCACTTTCAGGTTTCGATAGAAGACATGGGCCTCTATGAGGATTTATCCACGGCGAAGGAGGATGATCAGGTATTCAAAGGTGCCCCTTCCTTCTCCAAATTGATTGCTTTAACGGATGCTACTCCGTGGGAGGCGATCGCGTCGCCCGCCTCCAGATTTGCCCCGGAATAACTGATGCTACGGTGTGGAAATGATGATGTTTCTTTAGAAAGATAGGCGTCAAGTTTCTCGGGTAGACTCTCTCTCATAAAGGGTCAGGGATGCCCTTTCTGCCCTTGAATGATTCAACCTCTCCTGGGGTAGGCCATTGTAAAACACAAAAGAACATACAAGAAAGAGACATGGTCGGTCGGTTGTGCAAAAGGGGATAGAAACCATTCTCCCCTTCTCTCTCTCCCCCCTCCAATTTGTTGGGTACACCCGCCAGGCACCCTCTCAAGCCCTTCAAGATGTTGAAAAGGCTGTTCAGATATTTGAAAACACCGGGAAGATCCCAGCAAGCGTAATGGAAGCCAGGTAGGGTCTCTTTTTTATATATATATATAAATCCAGCCCCTCGAAGCCTCCGTTTCAATGGCATGCAAGCAAAAGCTGGAAATGAAAGACTTTGAAGGGGAGGAACGGGAGAGCTGTCTTGAACCGCCTTTGTGTTTTGTTCCTGCAGCTGTCGGCCAACCACAGACAGCACAGAAGCCTTGAAGGAAGCGGGCCGGTGGGGGGGAACCAGGGGGCTTGAACAGCAGGAAGGCTCTCGCCACTTTTAGAAGGACTCCTCAGGGAAACCTGTCCTCCCCGTCTGGTCTAATTCCTCTTTTGTTTTAGTAGTGTGGCCGACTTAGGGGGGAAAAATGTCCCTTGTGAACTGCAGCCTGCAAACCATGTGCTCTGGATCTTGGATAACCCCCCCTTTTTTTTTTTTTGGAGGATGCTGCTGGGACGAGCAGCTCTGGGTGCTTCTGTCTCCCTGTCCATGTGCCGCAAATGCATTTCCTTGCATTCCTTCAGGACACCCGGGTATCTTCTTCCCAGTGATAAAACGCCCCTGTAGCAAAACAGATCAGTGGCCCCTTTGTAGTAATAAAACATTCACACCCTGTGATATCTCAAGCACTAATTTTGAGGTTGTCTCTCTTGTTTTAACTCTGCTGGTTTTAAGGACTTTTCAAAAACTTCGCTGTGTTTCTGATGCCACTCACCTCGGCTTACGTTTGCTTCTGTCTTTTCGTTTCAGTATTTTCAGACGGCCTTATTACGCCTCCCGTTTTCTTCCTGCTCTGCTTGCTCCCCGCGTGGTTAGTATCCTCTTTTTCTGTTACCATCATTTCTAGCTAAGGAAATTTCATGTTTTTTTCTGTTTCACTGATTCACATAACGTTTGTCCTCGTTCACCTGCATCTCTATTCATATCTTTATCCTTTTCTTAAAAAGGCTTAGAATGATTTTGCACAGTAAAGATGCCCACATGAAATCAACGGTATCAAAAAGGGTATTGATGTATTTTACCAAAAAAATCTTTCAGCTTCCTGAAGTGCCTGACTCCCACATGGCTTTGATAGAGGCCCTCAAAAGGTGAGGAGCTGGATGATGTTAAACCCATCATCATATTTATTTGGGTATCTAGGTTTCTTCTTAATTAGTCTGAGGGTGCTTTCCTTTTATCACACATGGGCTGTTTCTATGTCTATGGTAATGTTACAACCTTTTCTTTCCCCACGTATTGCTGGAGAACTTTATTATGTGTCACGTCTACCTATAGGTTTTAGCTTCAGGTTAGACTCTTTGCCTTCTTAGCCTTGTAGTGTCTTCTCTAACCTTCAGGAATTTTCCAGAGTTGGGAACTTGGGAACTTTTGTATGCAAAGCCTGTATCAATGACTGAGCTATGGGTGAGCTTTCACATAATTGCATTTTGCATCGAATCAGAGCTAGTGGCAGAGGGAGATCATGGGATGGCAACACGGGGCACCCTGTTGAGAAATCATTTAACAGAGTTGGTCTGTGGACTGTGAGAAGGGAGTAAGCAAAGGGCGGCTGTTCCAAAAGCAGAGGCCCACTTCCCAGTGTTTGCAAGGGGGCCCTGGGACTTGATTCAGTGGTGGAAAAAGGTTTGTGTCTCTCCCCAACAGAGCTGAAAAAATTCCTTTGAACGCATATGCCACATATATTGAAGGATGCCAAGCTGCAAAAGAGACATTTTTGCAAGGTAAGGGGGGGGGGACTTAAAAAAAAAATTAGACTATTGAACATAAACACTGCCTTTTCCTCTGGTATTCTTTAAAAGAAAAAGAAAAAAAGCTGGAGCGAAGCTTAACGTTTCTCCAAATATAGCGCCCTGTTTTTGGTTGTGGAAGAGGAAAATGTGTTGCGGTGCTGGCATCTGTCTTAATTTAACGAGGAATATCCAGAGCCTTGCCTGGGAGGGTGGCAAGGGGGATGATGGTGTTTCTGAGTCAGGAGGAAGGACGGTGCAGGGAGAACCCCAGAGCACTGAGCTTGCTGAAGATCAGCTGCTTCCCTTGTTCCCAGCCTGCGAAAGATGAACCACAGCAGATAGGAGGACCTGCTGCTGTTTTAGAAGAGCTTCCTTCCCCCAAAGATTAGGAAAGTTACATTTCCCAACGCCTGATAACTCCCAGGCGGCTTGGGCATATTTGGATGGAATATTCTGGGTATTACCTTACCCGGGCTTCATGCTCTGGAGAGGACACTCCTCGATTCAGAGCATGTTACCATAGTCTCTTGAGACTGAAGGATGCCTATGTTGCCTATGTTATCCAGAGCCTTGCCTGGGAGGGCGGCAAGGGGGATGATGGTGTTTCTGAGTCAGGAGGAAGGACGGTGCAGGGAGAACCCCAGAGCACTAAGCTTGCTGAAGATCGGCCGCTTCCCTTGTTCCCAGCCTGTGAAAGATGAACCACAGCAGATAAGAGGACCTGCTGCTGCTTTAGAAGAGCTTCCTTCCCCCAAAGATTAGGAAAGTTACATTTCCCTTGGGCATATTTGGATGGAATATTCTGGGTGCAGTGGTTTTAAAAAAAACCAACACTGTAAACTTTACCCGACTCTACTAGTTTCCCAAGTGAAGACAGTTGCTTTTCTCTGATGAGAGGCAAGAATGGAGAGAAGGCGAGGATGAAAGAGACGGATTCGTGATCTACAGGAAGGGCTTGGGTAGACACTGGCCTCTAGTGGCCTCCTGGGTCAGTCTGGGTGCTGTTGCTAGGACAGAATCCAACCATTTGACCTCCTTTGGTCCTTTAGTTTAACTGGGTTGACGCAGATGGAATTGCAGCTGCCCGGTATCACCAAACGATCCTTGGTTATTGGATGTCGCTTGGGGCGTGGCGTTGGGAAGCCTGGTTTAACCAGTGGGGCTGCTGCCTTGCTCTGGGAACCCTTCCGAGGGGCAGTGGTGATGGCTTCCAGGCGGATTTGCTCAGCTGTGCACATTTGGTGTTTTGACCCAGATTTGAAAGGACCCCAACTGTGTGGTTCCCGTTACCAAATTCCCAAAACAGGGCTGGGTCGTACCTTTTCTGGGCTACTAATAGAGCATGAAAAATGCAAGGGTTGAGAACCTGAACGACAAAGGGCTGCGTATTGCAGAGAACAGAAAAGTCCAAGAATCGACCTAACTAGAAATGGCAGGATCTGTAATTCCATTCAGACGAGGAATGTGCAGACTTCATAGTCTTGGTTTTGAGGGGTGTTGGGAGCATCAGGTTCCCCCCTGGGACGAGACGGCTCTTCCTGTGGTTTGCAGGTGGATCAGCAGAAATGGAGACCAGTGGCCTCAAGGAACCCTTGGAGTTGCTCAAGGCCGAACTGGAAGCACTGAGACTGCTGGTTATAGACCCAAGCAAGTATGATGGTAAGTGGAGACAGTTGATTCAGGTCCGGGGCACCTGCAGTTTCACTTATCTGCAGACTAAAGGATTTGAAGGAATTGGAAAGGATTGGAAAAATCCTTTCACCTTCAGTCTCAGGATCTCTCATCCGTGCCCTTCTGCCGGTCTCTTCTGCCACCTTCCTCTTGCCTGCAGGACTGCTGGCGCAAATTGCTGTGGTTTCTGAGAAGCTGATGGGGGTCCTGGGGAGGCCGGACGATGAAGATGACGCTGCGTCCTTGAGTCTTAGAATCCAGCTGGACTTTTCTGCTCCTGAAGTTGAGCGACCCCATCAAGAGGTGGGTAGGAGAGAAGGGGGATCAAAGGGGCCCCCACTTAGGTGTCCCCCCAAGCCAAACCTTATGGTTTTCAGGGATGACCTTTCCTGGCAGGAGGGCATCTACTGAAGGTGGTGGTGGGTGGTGTGTGCTATTCCCGTGGTCTTTGGACTACAGCCCCCATCGGCCCTCGCCATCACAGTCAGCGGTGAGACATGCTGGGATTTGCAATCCAGTAACCTTAGGTGGTGGTGGGGGCTGTATTTACCCCCACCCTTGTTTTCAGTCACGCACATTAGGACAGCTCCTGCTTCGTGCAAGGGGGCTGAGGAAGCCAACCCTGGAACACACAAGCCTGCCAAAAGAATCCCCTTTCTGTTACTTTCCTTGAATAAAATGCCAGCCCTGCCGTGAGGCAGAGGAGACAACCCCCCTCGGGTTGCAGAGGGCTCAGGGATGTGGAGTGGTGGAGAGAGTGGTGTGTGCCCCTCGTGCCCTACCCTGCCTCCCCAGGTCGCTTTCGGGCGCAGAATCCCCTTCAACAGCCCCCGAAGTCGGGATGGAAGCAGAACAGTCCCGCCCGGACTGAACCGCCGGGGCAGAAGGAGCGTTATGGCATCTCCCCAAGACTCGTTTCTCAGCGGCTCCCTCCCCCTTTTGAGAATTCACACATTTCATCATCATCATCTTAGAATTGCAGGACTGATCGGCAAAGCTTGACTGAGCGTGTCAGAGAAATAAAACGAACCCAGAAAAACATGCAGATGTTTAAAGTGGGAATGCCCCAGACGCAAACAGCGGGGGAAGAAAAATACATAAAGGCATTTAGCTTGGTTGCTTGTGGGAGGTTGTAATTTTTTAAAATCAACTTTTCAAAGGCTTGAATAGATTGCCTGGTGTAGAAATGAACAGCCCCCCTCCCTCTGTTTCAGGTTGTTGATCTTCTGCTCACGTCGTTTTGCCAGACCGTGATGTCCGCGTCCTGCTTCCTCCCTCCTGACAGGTAAAGTAAGAGCCCACGGGCTCTCCCTGCGGGTTGTGGCTGGCTGCCAGAACATCCGTGCAGCCGTTTTGTTTTCGTGTTGGCCATGACAGGACCATGCGGTTTGTGTTCCCTGCAGGCAGGGGACCTGGCCCTCCCTTTTCGTGAAAATGATGGCCGGACACCGTCCCCTCCTGCCCTCCTTGCTGAGTCGGCTGTGCCAGCTGCTCTGTCACCAGGTGGGTTCTCTGCTGTGCCTGAGGCACCCCTCCCCGGTCGAAGGACAGGGATCTCATTGGCTTTTCTGACGGCCAGCCTCTCGGGTCGTTTGAGGTTCTCCTAGAACTTCTAGGCTGGACGGAGACCCGTTGCCTCATATAAAACTCTCTTGCTTGGAATGTCCTCTGCAGGATCTGCTGCGTTTGTCTCCTTGCAGGGTTCTTCCCTAAGCGACGCTCACCTCATCGGCCTGGCTGTCTTGGCGGTTCACTTAAACGAAGCCGAGTCCTTGCTCCCCGCAGTGGACGTCGGCTCTCCTCCTTGGACTCCTCGCTCGGGCTCTGCCAGAGGTCGGTCTTTTACAGGACTCTGGGAATATTTCCTGGCGTGCAAGACGGGAGAGTCGGTGGTCTTTTGCATGAGGTACGTTTTCCGGTCCATCTTGTGGCTTGTCAGCCTTTCCTTTTAGAGTTACTGGGACTGCAAGCCTGCGGGGATGACCTGTCCACGTTACTGCTTGAGAAAGCTTAAATATTGTCCACATTTTTAATAAAACAATTTAGATTTTGTGAACCGGAGAGCTAGTGTGGAGTAGGAGTCAGCATCCTACTAGAGCAAGGGGTGCTCTCAACTCACTTCCAACATCCGGCGACCCTAATAGGGTGTTTGAGGCCTCAGATGTTACAGGAGGCATTCCCTGGCCAAGTGGAGACTTTCCATGGCCAAGTGGAGGTTTGAACCCGGATCTCATGAGACCTAGTTGGACATTCTGTCCACTACGCTACACTGGCTATTGCAGAACAAGGGAGAGCTGGTTTTCTTTTTCCCCATTCATCCATTAAACGCCCTGATGGAGCGTTTTTTCAGTGGCTCTCCCAGAGTCTGCGTCTGCCTCGGAGGCTTGTTGTGGAATGAAACAGTTTGGGAGAAGGGGATAGAAATGTCATCAATATTTGAAAAAGGGGCAGGTGCCACAAGCAGGTAAGCTGAAAGAATGCATTTTCTTCCTGTTTTTGCAGATTTTGCACTGTGGTATTGTCCTATGTTTTATGCAAGTTTGCCTCTCTCTCCCATGACGACTTGAGCTCCTTCCTTCATCCTGCTTTTGTAAAAAAGGTAAACATCTGCTTTTTAAAGGAAAAGCGCTATCTTATATTTCGCTAAATTCCAGGAGACCTACATCTTTATGCTGCAGATTTTTCTGGCTTGCCTTTAAGGTGCAACTTTATTTTTTTTTATGGTTGTGGTTGACATTTCTGTGGCCAGTGAGGCTTTATGATCTTTGGGAATCATTGGTTCCAGAAAACTAGGTTTCTGGGTTCCATTTCTTAAAAGACAAAGGGAATTGCTGTTTACTAATGGGGTGACCCTTTCAGTGAGGCAGGTAGTAAATGTCAAGTTACCAGATGGATTTCTGGATAGGTTTGTGAGTGCAAATAAAAAGAAATACACGGATGGAGAAGATGAAAACTGTCCGACGTTGCTGCTGGAGCAGATGAAGGGCCGGGAGGGCAGGAGGACTGTGGTCCTAGGAGCCTGTCTTCCTGAACCCCGTGTCATCCCAGTGGGTTCAATTAAGCCCCCACAACCTCCCAGCGGGTCGTGGCCTTTACACCCTTCTGTCTCCCAGTTTCAGTACACTGTGCCACGGCTCTTCGTGGAAGCTCGAGGCATTTGCTACGAAGGGAGCGCAGACGAGCTTCCCTGGGAAGCTTTATCCTGCCCGGATCCCTGCTACAAGGCAGCCGCCCTCTGCCTATGGAAGGAAAAGCGTATCGAAAGGCTCTTGGAAGAGAAAGCATTCCAGGTGAGCTCTGTCCGTCGGGATCTGTGTGCGGTCCTCTTGAGAGCACGGGCGTCAAATGCAATCCCTGCTCACCCAGGAAAGAATCTGGATGGTGCTCTCATTGCCCCTGGATGGGCTCGTGTGCTTTGTTCCAAAATTCTGTATCTTTTTTTTTGGGGGGGGAGGATGTGCGTGAGTTCTACCTGCAGAGACGGCTTCTCTGGCTCTTCCTTTGGGGACAGGCTGTGCAGGCGGCGTTTGGGTGGGTGCTCACGAGGGAGGCCGCAAGCAGATCCCGGCGTCCCACAGGGAGGAGGGTGTGTGCCTTAAAGAGGGGCACGCAGGGCCCAATCCTGGCCATCCGCTTCTCAGTGCCTGCTCGGGAGCTTGAGCAGGTCTCCTGCTCTGGGTGACCCATAGGCCTCTGGGAGCGGCTGCTGCTGAAGGAGGACGTGCGCATGTCGTTTGTTTTGCCCCCCCCAGACCCTGTTTTTGCAAAATAAGAAACGGCCAGGCTTTTGGAGCAGGGGTGCCTCCTGCCGTAAGTCTGGGGAGGGGGCTGCTTCCCCCCCCCACCCGCAGTGGCTCACCTCAGGCCTAACGGACTGTGCAGACGGCCCTAAGGGGTCTGGTCCGTTTTCCCTGTGGGTGCACATGTCCTGGGTCTCACCCGTCTGCCTTTCTTCCAGCTGACTCTGCAGGAGTGGCTGCTGATGGAGCTGGGAGTCGACCCCGAGGGAGACCTCCTTTCTGCTTCTGAGAGGTGAGGGCCAGACATCCTGCCGCCGTCTGCCTAGGAAGGGCAGAATGAAGGGCCTGGTCCATGTACAAGCAGAGGGAAAGCTAGGAGGGGGTATCACACCAGCCGGCGAGAGGTTGGCCCCAGGAAGCCTTAGGAAGCCTTTCTGGTCACCTTTGGAAGTGATTCGTGGTTGCAACTCAGCCTAAAGGCATGCTACACAGACACACACACACGTTTCAATGCTGATTCGGGGTCTGCAGGGGCAGTGGGTTGTTGGGGGGGTGTTTTCTAGAAGCCCGGGGGTGTGTGTGTGCTCTTTTCCCACCGACCTTCATCTTTCTTAAGATAGGGCACAGGACGGAAGAGTGAGATTATCTGTCCTTCCTCAGTCCCAAATCAGTGCAAAAAACCAGCGGGTGATTAATTCTTCTTTGGAAGTCTTTTTGCTTTCACCGAACTCTGGCCACTTATCTGTCCCTCAGGCCCTTCCAGGGGTAGCCCTAAGTCCTGCAGTGCCTGCCCAGGGCCCACGGCTCCCTCCCTTACGGGTGATTAATTCAGAGTTTCTTCTTTGGAAATCTTTTTGCTTTCACCAAACTCTGGCCACTTGCCTGTCCCCCAGGCCCTTCTGGGGGTAGCCCTAAGCCCTGCAGCGCCTGCCCAGGGCCCACGGCTCCCTCCCTTGCCTTCCCTTTCGATGTAATGGCAGAACGTTGAGCTCCGCCGTCGGCTTCCTGTCTTGCAGGCGGGCGTTCCATGACTGGGCCCTGTACCAGCACTATCTCCCCCGGTCCAGCGCCGGTGGAGGCTGCGATGGAGACTTAAGGAAGGCATGTGCGATTCTTATAGGGGCCATCCTGGATTTCTGCCACAGGTAAACAGCATCTCAGGGGGTGGTTTCCCCCTTGCACTCAGGTGCCGGCCAGGTAACATCCACAGACGTGGTTGTGTGTGAATCAAACCATCTAAGCAAATGACAGCTTTTTAAAAATGATCTGCAGTCTCGCAGCTAATAGAGCCTACCATGTTTTCAGCTTAACCTCCCCTGAGATCTTCTGATACAGGATGGGGTGTACATGTCCAAAGAGACAAAATACATCTACGGAAGATTTATGAACTGTTACCACCATGCACGCTGCCCTCTTGTCTCTTTATTTATCCCTCCAGAATCCACTTTAAATGATACTGCTGTTCCAGTGGTATATTTTAGTATATTTTAATTGGGTTGGATCCACGCTCCATCATACCCTGAGAAGACCTCCAGAGACTTTAATTAGGTGTGCGACTAAATTAACTCCCCTTGACTTCGGTGAATCTAAATAGGATTAAATCTGGATCCAGCCCATCGTAGGTTAAAACATGTAAAGATGATGGTAGAGTTAACATCAGAACTTCTGTCAAAGGCCTTCTGTGGTGTTCCAAGTGGCCCTCGGCCTCCCTGTTTCTCTGCCAAATGTTCCCGACTTCTCTGTAAGTCCAGAGGATAATCCCGCCTGCATTTTATCTTCTTCTAGATCTGAGCTGAGCAAGTGCCCTCCCCTGAGGAACCCCAAATGCTCCATCACCCAAGGGAGAGGGAGCCCAGACCTCCACTGCAGATTACAGGTGATCCACCGACTCCTGTGCGTTACGTTATGTTGGGACTTTTTGCCTCCTTAATCTTCTGCTTTTAGGGGTTTGGCCTTCGTCTCCTCCCCCCAAATCCAGATTTCCCTTCTGTTTAAGGAACTACATGCCGAAAGCAAAGATGAGGCATTGTTCAGTTAAAGTGGAGGGGGGCTTAGCCAGTCCCCGGGACCTTTCCGCCAGCGGCTTGGGACAGCTTTTAGAGACAGACCTTTGGGTACTGTGTCGATCAGGTGTGTTTGTGGGCACCATCGCAACTAGAGAAACGCAGCATTTGGAAGCGACAGGTCAGGTGCTGTGGCCACCAGGCAGAAGACGAATCCAAAAAGGTGCACCCAAGTCATATCTGTAACATGAAAGCAGCTGTTGTGGTTAATGGATCTGTGCAAAAATCATGGTTTCTACAGCAAAAAGATTTGTTGAGACTAATAAAAAAAATCATTTGCTTATTTTGTTAACTCTTTGTATAGCAGCCCATAAGTGCAATTCACTATTCTGGATGGTTTACAGCATGATAAAATATAACCCCACATTAATAGCGTTATAAATAAAACCAAGAGAGTATGAAATACGATACCAAAGGCTTAATGTCAGATCGGGTAAGGCAGAACATGAGGCATAAAATCGGACCTAGAGAGGATAAAAAATGATCCGCTCCCCTATGAACTCACGGGGATACACCTAAGAGAGTGGTTTGGCTAATAGGCTGGCCTTCCTTCCAGGGCTGTTTCGTACGGGTTAGGGAGATGTCTGAAGTGGTCTTGGGGAAAATACTTGGGAGAAACACGGACCGGAGCTTCTCCTCCTAATTCCTGGTGTTTCCGGCCGGGAAGGCTGGCTGGAGCTGGCCCCTCTACCTGCTGCTCTCTTTCTTGATGGCAGGAGATGCTGCTGGAGCTGCACTTGGTGTGCAGGAGACCCTCACGGGACGTCAGCGGCCGCAAGGAGCACTTTCTGTTCCAGCTTTTCCAGGAGAGGCTTAAAGCTCTAGGGAACGGAGCCGCTGTGGGGGAGAGGCTGTGCCGGCAGCAGGAACTCCTGCTTCAAACCAGGTGAAGGGGGCCGAGGGGTGGGGGTGGGGTCTGCCAGCAATTCTAAGCACCTTCTAGGCCAACGCAGAGCACAGCTGAGAAACGGAAGCAACCACAAAACCTCCCTTCTCGCTTTCCCTGTTCTGGGAGGAAGGGAAACCGGCACCGTCTGTTTGGGGCTGTTGTTCTGCTGGTGCTTACATTTCTCATGCCACTGTGCAGCCCTGAAGGTCTGCAGCACGCAAGGCCCAGATGCAAGGAAAGGAAAAGGCTGTGTTTTTATGCTGAAAGTTGTTTTCTTTTTTGTGCATGTCCAGGATTCTCTTGGGACTGCCTCCATCGTTTCTTGTTGCGACACGGCGAAAAGGAACCCAAGTCACTCTGGATTGTGAAGGCTTCTTTGGGTTCGTGAACACAGAACTGGTGTGTACCACGTCCTAAAGAACAGCTTGCTCTTGGTAGCGGCTCCAGGCTGGACGGCTTAGCCGTCTGAGGCTGATTCATCCCAAGTGCCTTTTGGGGTTCAGAACAGACTCACTTCCTTTAATACCGGGCAGAGACCGTTCTGCCCACGGTTAAGAATTGCCGCCATCGTTCTCTTCCTCGGGGCGCTCTCCGCTTGGGAGAATCCTTCCGAACCCGGGGCAAACCTGGCTGCTCAACCCTCCAAATCATAAACTGCAGGCTTGGAATGGGCGAGTGGCGTTATGCCGTTTTTGTGAGCTCGTCCAAAGTAACCAGCTTGGAGTTCCTTACCTAGAAGCCTTGGGAATATTTTCCACATTTCTTCCAACTTATTTTGAACCGTCTTTTGTTTTTCTTTCTAATGATGCTGCAGAATAACGCCATCCCCAGAGGCTTCGCGCTTCCTTACGACGTCACCGCTCACTTCTTCAGGGTAATGGCTAACCGGCCGTGTTTCTTCTGCGTTCCCTTCACTTTCTAGGCAGAGCAATTTAATCCGCCCCGCCAAGTTGATGGCCTGGGCGTTGTGGCCGTCTGTGCATGTGCGCGCCTGTGTGAGTTAAAAGACAGAAACCCGCTTCAGGTGTTGCTTACACGGGCAGACATCATGGAGAGGAGAGGCCCCCGGATTCTTTCCTTCCTGGGGTCATTTTTGCCACCTAGAAACTGACGTGCTTGTGCGCAAGCTCTCCACATGAAGAAGAATCTGCAGATTTCTCTGGATTCTTGGTCACACAGAGAGCCTGCCTGTGAGCAGGGACATCTTTGCAGAGGCATTAACAGGGAGATTAAGAGAGAGAGAGGAGCATTGGGGTATTTGGTTATTTTGGCTGTGCTTGCCGAAAACTGCCGCCTTCCAGTTAGAACGAGAAGTGGCTTCTATAGAGCAACGGGGCCATGACGGTGAGGACCGTCTGTCGCCCTCGTCTACAGGTGTGGGGTTCTTCTGAGAAATGCTCGTCCCTCCTTCCGTCAAGCATAGCTTGCCTCCTGTCCCGTTAGTGGTCAGCGGGATGGCTGTCCTTGGGCTGCCCTCGGGGATGACACGTGTACACCCTCCCTCTGTACCCTGCAGGGCTTGCTGAGTGCCAGTCTGGAGTGCGACCAACCTGCGGAGGAGGTGACCGCTGTTCTCACCTTGGTCCAGGCCAGATGCCCGATCATTCTCACTTCCGCAGCGGTAAGAGACCTGTGCTGTTGAGTTTCTCTTTCTCGATGTCTCTTTGCAGTGTTTGAAAAGCACTCGGTCCATAACTGCTGGATGGCTCAGTGGTTTAGGCATTCAGCTGCGGAACCAGAGGCTGAGAGATCAATTCCCCCATCGGGCCTCCTGGACTTGATGACCCAGTGGGTCCCTTCTATCCCTGCAGTTCTAAGATTTTTGATGGTGGTGGTGGCGGCAATGGCAGGCCTTCTCCCTGCAGTTCCAAGATTTTTGATGGTGGTGGTGGTGGCGGCAATGGCAGGCCTTCCGTTGACTTAGGGGCCTGATGAGGCGACATCCTTTGGAGATGGCTGGGGGCTGTGATAGTACAAGAAACACAGCGGTGGTCGGCCTTCTGAATCTTTTTCTTGGATGTTCGTGCAAGAGGCTAGGTTGCTGCACAAAGAGAGGCTAAGAGTGGGCCCAGCACGTGGGTCTGGCTGCCTAAGGGGTCGCTGCTTGGCCGAAGTGATGGAGGCAGGAATCTGACCCGTCGCTCAGACCCAAGAAGGCTGCTGGGGGGGGGGGATCCTGTGTGTAAAACGAGGAAATCCCCATGATAGATGAGTGTGGTTGCTGGCTTGTTAATGGCTAACCTTGTGTTGTCTTGGCTCTGCAAAGCGCTGGTGGCCGAGGATGGAGCCCGTGCTTTCCTCGGAGTGGGAGAGACTCTTCCAGGGTCCCCTGGCGCAAGGATTGCGAAGCCTCGGGGAGATGCAGGTTTCTGTCAACCGGTAAGTCCAAAGAAGCTCTCGTGGGAGCAGCCGGGAAGCCTGGGGGTTGCCCATGCAGGTCTCCCTCGCTCCGCTGGGGGGAAATCAGTTGGAGGAGGAGAGGCTCCTGGCTGTTCCCCGTTTGGAGAAGCCTGATGTACAGTATTTGCAAACCACCTTCCCTGCATCACCCGATGCCAGTGTGCTTTCTCCTGACTTGAGATCATTTAGAGGGGTCAGCCTGGAAGTGAGGAGACCCACTTTCAGCTCTCCAAGGAACTGTAAAACTCATGGGGTGATCTGGAGCTAGTCTGTCTGTCTGTGTATCTCCTGCTCTACCTCACAGGGCTGTTGTGAGGATAAAGTGGGGGAGGAGGAAAAGCAGAGCCAACCTCCTTGAGCTTGTTGGGGGGGAGAAAAGTCTGAAATGCAACAAACTATTATTAACAATATGGACTTATTTAGCAGAGTGTTGTTCCTGGAGGCAGCTCTCCGGAGTTTGAGAAAGGAGTTTCTCCAGCTTGGAGAAAACGGGGGTCTGAATGGGGTTCCCCCTGCATCCAGAGCAGTTGCCCCCTCCCCACGCCGAGGCTCCTCCCTATAAGTAGCCGGAGGGCCACCAAAGCTCAGGGAACAGAAAACTGGGGACAATTACAGTGTTGTGAAACTCTGGGCCTCCCTGTTCCTTTTACCTCTTGCTAGCTTTCTTTCGTCGGAAGCCGCCTCCCTGGCCTCTCCCGAGGTGTCGTGGCTTTGGGCCGCCTTCCTGCATTTTGCTTTGGAACGCCAAGGGGCGACGGAAAAGAGGGGCGACGCGCTGAAGAGGCTGGGGCCCGGAGCCGAAAAAGTAAGGCATCGTTTTCAGCTGTTTCCTCCTCTGTGATATGTTGAGAAGAGGAGAAGCCCCTTTTTTTTTCAGGTCCGAAGGGCCAAAGGTCATTCTAGGATGACACAGGGTGACCTCTGCCCCACGTCACTGGCTTTTGTCCATGTTGGTGTGCTTTCATTGGCAGGTCCTGGTGTACCTTTTCATTTTTTCCATTCTGGATTTCATCACAGCCCAGGTAACACCCCAGGTGAGTCTTTTTATCTGTCTGCCTGGAAAATAACAGGAGCCCCCCCGTGGCCCCCAGCTTTTGTGATACTCATCAGTAGAGCTGCCTTTATCAGCAGTAATTAGAGGCAATGCAGATTTGTGCTTTTGGGACAGAGCGTCTTGGGGGATTCAGAGAATTGCATCCCGCAAATACCAGTCTGCTCACCTCTAGTAATAATCGAAGAGAACAGGAAGGTAGGTTTCAGGTTAATTGAAGCCAAGGCTCTTGGAACCTGACCTGCCTGCTAAGAGGACCCTGTAGGTAGGCACGTAACAATAACTGGATTTCCAAAACACACCTTTTCATGACATTTACCTGCGTTAGCACATTTGCAGCCTGCAGCACCACCTGCAGCCTAACCGTCTCCTACATTTTCAGTTGATACGGTCTGAAGTCACAGAGGAGTAACTGGGGAGATCTGTGTGAACAACGGAGGTAGGCGCATGCAATTCTTTTTTTTAAACTTTTCAGGAAGGAGTGGATGTTCAGAAAGCCTTTGACTGGAGTTCAAAGGTGCTCCAGTGCTTAGAGGAACGAGGGGTGCCCTGGCTAGCGGTCTTCAGTTCAGCCGGGAGAGGTGAGGAGGCGTCTCCCTGCACCGTGGTTCTAGCGTCCAGCCGGTTCCAGCGTTGGAAGCATATGGTGATCGCTGGTGCTCCGTTAAGGACTCTCTTTCTCCTGGATTTGCAGGTCACAGCCCTGGTCAGATCCTGCTTGGTGCTGTTTCAGATCAACACACAAAGCTGCTGCCAGTTGCCTTCTACAGGTAGAGCCCAGTGCTGTGTTCTGCATGCTGTAAATGAACTTTTTGAGAAAAATCCAGAGCGAGGGGAAATGGTCAGAGAAGACACTTGTCATGCTGAGCTGTGCTTCAAACACACATGGAAAATCTGCAGAGGGTGGGAGAGAAATCCAACTTGGATCCAGCTAGAATCCCTGCAGCCACTGTGGCCACTGGCCATTGCTGGCTGAGCTATTGTCCCCAACAGGAGCATCGGTAGGCTCTGGTTTCAAACGCGGGCGTGCAGATAGACCACGGAGGGAGCCTGGCTGGTCCATGTGCTGTCTGTGCCATCTCTTCCCTTCTGTTCCCCCCCCCCCAAGCCTTCTCCTTGCCTTCAGCTCAGAAAAGTTAATCCAGGAGCAGACCTTCCTATATGTTGCCACTGACATGTACACACAACTGCTGCAGCTCTTTATGAATGGACCAGCAGAGATGGGACCAATCCAGAGAGAACAAAGGCTGGGTGCCCACAAGCCGGTAAGCTCTTTTCCATGGTTGACTCAGCTGTCTTCAGCTTCCTTCCTCCCTTCCCTTCCCTTCCTTCGGCTCAGCCGGGCACATCTGTGTTGGCTGGTCTTGGAGAGAGAGCGATGGATGCTTCTTCCCGTGCATCCATTGCTCTCTCTCCAAGACACACCAACACAGAGGTGTTGTCACCGTAATCCACCATGCCTGTCCCTTTGCCATTTCATCTTAGGCTGGGCTTTGCAAAGTAAACAACGTCTTAAAAGTGTCTGCAGAAGTCTGTCAACGCCCCACGGGAGCTGGTTTCCAAACATGGTTGGGCAAGGAAGGGATTGTTTGTTAGACCTGTCCCGAGAGGGGGCTCAAAGGAGACAGGGAGGGTGCATGGTCTGTTGGAGGAGTTCGTATCAGGGCACGTTGGCCCCTTGGGAGGCTGGAGGCTCTTCCTTTTTCCCTTGGGGGCTTCCAAGGAAAGGCTGATCTGGCCATTTCGTATTCCTGCTTGCCTGGGAGGCTTGCCTTCAAGGATGAGGCCACCTTGGCCAAGCTGTGACTCGGCCTGGCGCTGCTAGCCCTGCGGGGGGGGGGGCAGAGTGACGGGAGTCGTTGCCAAACGTTCCAGATGTGTTTGATTGGGATGTTTGGATCATCTGCCGGCAGAACCCCTTCTGGTCCTGCAATCCTGGAGGGCGGGCTCAGCTCCAAGTGGCTCAAACCAGGTTTTCTCTTCCCCCAGGAGGACCCCTTATCTCTGATCCAGGAAGCCCGGCGGTTCCTGCTCCGCACAATCCCCAAGTGTCCTCTGGGGAGCTTTACAAACCTCCAGCAGGTGGGTCAAAGGGGCTTTTGCCCGCTCGAAGCTTCAGAAAGAAGGGGCAGCCCAGAAAAGGGACTGTTCTCCCTCTCTGAGCCCTTCCCGAAGGGAAGCACGAGGTAGCCAGTGCTCTCTTTGTGCTTCTTGGGGGAAGTTCTCTCTGTTGGAGCACATGGGTGGGCAGGCAGGCAGGCAGGTGTGAGGGAGGGCCTGCTGAGCAGATCTTGGGTTCAGCATCCCAGCAAAATAAAAAAAAATCAGCTTTACAGCTTTGGGATGAGAAAACAACACTGCTTGATAAAAAGACATGAAATACATCCCAATATTGATCCACATGCACCACGGAGATGTTTTCCAGCTCCATGGAAAGATCTCTGTTACCTGGAGGCCAGCCTTCACTGGGCGGGCATGCCATCCAGTCCTGAGGCTCCCCCTTTTCTGCCTCACGGGCAGCATCCCCTTAGCCCTGGACCCGTTTCTTTCTCTCCTCGCCACACGCTCACCAGCCCAGAGTGAATGCTAAAGGAAAGCTGTACTATAGAAAAGGATGGTTTTGTGGACAAAGGCCACTGTTCCGTGGTAGAGGGCACGCTCTCTAGCTGGAAGGTCCCCGGTGCAATGTGTAACTTTGAAAAGATTTTGGTGGCCTAACTAGAAACGGCCATTCTCTGTCAGAGAGCCTGCCGGTCAAAACAGGGAGCAGCAAACTGGAGAGATGAAGTCAGACTCAGCTTAAGGCCGTTTCCTTTGTTCTGAGTACCTTTGGTGTCTGTGCTCCTGAACTACGAATTGTCCTGGTTTGGATTTCTTGCACCCTTTTGGCAGAAGATCTCCAAAGCCACGGTCACTGGCAGAACCTCACCAGGTGTCTGCGTATGTGTGCTTGGAAAAGAAAGGGCTATACTGGAGAATTAAAGCACAGCTGTCAGGCTGCAGAGGGAACCACACCAGCAGCCTTGTTCCCTGGAGGGCACGGTGCTCTAAGGAGAGAGTTTGCCCATGTGTTTGCCCCAGAGGGGCGCCCGCTGATCTCTGACCCCCCCGGCTTCTGTTTCCCTTCTTAGCTCCTGGATCTCTGTGGGGTTCTGGACCCAGAGATCCAGGCTGCCCTGGTGGATTTCAGCACAGGGGAGGATTTGATGGATGATGAACCACTCCTTTTCTGACGGTGGGAGTCCTCCTGAACAGGGAGCGGAGGCATAAAGCAACTTTCCGTGCGGATGGCGTACTGGTGGAAGAAAGGGACAGGAAAACCGACACGCTTCCCCAGCACCCAGAATGTCCAAAGTACTGTGTAAATAATTTATTACAAGCATAATCATGACTTTGTAACAATAAAAATTAGGTTACAAATGCAGTGGTTCTCTTTCTTTTTTTCTTTTTTGTTAAGATCAGCTTTCAGATTTAATTTAAAATACATCATCTGGGTTTAAACGAGGGAGCTGTGTTATCTCGAAGGCCAGCTGACCTCTTGTCTGCGGACATCGTGCACACCTTTACAACAGGTGTGGTACCTTTACGACCTTCATCCTTGCACCCTCTGAAGGGAAGCCGGGCAACCTGTTCTCTTTGGCAAGAGAGAGGTTGCTCTTCCGAGATGCTCCTCCTGCAGCTGCGACTATGGCGTCGGGCGGGAGCAGAGAGAGAGAGAGACAGAGCGTTGCCCTAGCCAAGGAAAGCTTTCCATGAGCCGGCAGAAGTGGCTTCCTCCGAAGAACCCATTTTAAAAACATACATTTAAAACTCCCGCTTGGGGTTGGCTTCCCACCTGGCTCCCCTCCCACCGTTTTTCAGGTGGGCTCGTGTTGTTGTGCACCGAGTTCCACTTTCACGGGCCGGCTTTCGGCAGTCCCCGACGGAGCGGTGGGAGCAGGAGCCTCTGCATCCGGCGACACGACCCCGCGCTCGGCCTCGGCTGCCTTGGGTTTGTCCTGAGCTTGCGTTAAGGGATGCACCATGGACATGTGGACGTTGAGGTTGTGGGCCTTCTCGAAGCGCTTCCCGCACTGGTCGCAGGCAAATTCGAGCTCCGCCTCGGCTTTGTGTTTGGTCATGTGGTATTTGAGAGACGCCCGCTGCCTGCACTGGAAGCCGCAGATTTCGCACCTGGAGGAGGAGAAGGCAGGGCATGAGATAAAGGGGCCGCAGCCTCTCCCCTTGGCACAAGACAGGCTGCTTGGCTGCCGCTCGGCTTCGGAAAAACAAGCAAGAAGGCTCTGAAACAGTCACGCTTTGCCACCAACTCAAGAGCCCCGAATTTTGAGCTGCGCTTTGGACCAGACTTGGGAAAAAAAATCTCGCTTCTCGATGGAAGTCTGAACGTCCCAATCCAAAAGGCAAGAATGGATGGCAATGTCGTGGTCGGGAGTATGGCGCGCGAAATACTCAGACCATGATGAAACTTTACACTGCCATGCTCGGCAAGCGGAAACGTTTTCCAGCACTCAGTGATTTTTTCCCCCAGCAAGAGGACTCTTAGGACTGAGAAGGCCTTGGGGAATCGCCAGTGAATCCCCAAAAGGTTGCCCGGTGGATCCCGACCCCTCTTGAAAGGCCCCCTCTGGACACGGGCGATCAACCAGGGCACTTACTGGAGAGGTTTGGCTCCCGAGTGGCGCATCTGGTGCACGGAGAGGTGCTTGCGCTGCTTGAAGGTGTGGCCGCATTCGTCACAGATGTAGTTCCGCACCTCTGTTGGCGAGAGAAGGAGAAAGGGCAGAGAAGTCACCGCGAGAGCTCACTAAGCATTTAAGCAGAGGACGACGGGGAAAGCCACCTCCTGTACCTTCCTGTGCCCAGGGCGATGCCCAGGCAGGATCCACATAAAGAGGGTTCAGTGCCCAGACAAGAGACACAAGTCGGGTGGCACACCCTCCTCTTCGGCCTTTCTTCCTGCTTTTGTCCTGATCAGAGCTCATTGTCTTGGTTTCCCCCCCCATCTGTTTTATTTTGATTTTATTGCTTGATTCTTCACTCTCTTTTTTTGCATTCCAGAACCTTTAAATACAGCCTTTCCCCTTAGACTGCCAGGAAGTCAAAAATGATTTGCAAACCATCCCCAGTGTTCTGAAGAACCTTGCTGAATTCAGTAATATTTTGAAGAAGTTTTCCTCCTCCTCTTGTTTCCCGTTTGCTCCTGTTAGGAGACGTGGCCTCCCTCCTCCAGGCGAGGTGGCCATTCTCCCTTCCCTCCTCCCCGGGGGGGGGAACCCAGCCGACCTGTATGGATGAGCTTCACGTGCCGCTGAAGGTACCGGTCGATCATGAAGACCTTGTTGCAGCCCGGGTGGGGGCAAGGCCTTTCCCGAACCTCCTCGTGATGCTCCTTGATGTGCTTCTAAATCAAAGGAAAGAGAAGAAGAAGGCTGTTGCACATAGTCCGGGTACTGCCTGGGGGGGGGTCCCTTCTGGCTCCCTTTGGCGTGCTTTTCCAGGGCAGGCATGTGGCAGCAATCCTGACCCCTGGTAGCAAACGTTTACTTTAGAAGCAAAAGAGAAGAGGCTGTGTTCTTTTTTTAAATCAGACCTTCAGCAAACATGGAGCTTCTGTCCCTGCCAGTTTTTCAAAAGCTGCAGAATTGTTTGTAATTTTTTCCTTTTCTGAGAAGAAAACACCAGCCTCCACCAATCAGACAATTGTTAACGAGCAACCAACCCTCTGCCCTTGAGTCGCTTGGACTTCCTTTTATATACCCCTCTTTCAAATGAACGAACAGCCCTGGTTCTTAATGGAAGGCAGTGCACAGGCCGTTGAAAGAGCCTCTGGCTCAGGGACCTGAGTTCTTCCAGGGCCAAGAGGCCCCACAGATAGACCCCCACGTACCTTCATGCCATCGGCCCCTCGGTAGACAGCTGTGCAGCCCTGATAAGGACACTTGTATATGGTCGGGAGCTCTTCCCTGAAAAAAGCAGAGAAAAAGGGCAGTGAAAGAAGGGGCGTGCTCGTCCCGATGCTGATCCTGCATCTCTCAAATGGTGTTTTTCTGGAAATGACAGCCCCCAAAACACAGATTTTAACACGGATCTGTTTGCCCATGGTCTTTGGTACCTTTCAAACTTGATCTTCTTCTTCCATCCAGGTTTGGGCCCGGGCTTCTTCCTGACTTTGGGCTCTTCCAACTTGCCTGCCTGGCTTTCAGCTTTTCCATGATTGGACACCCTAACGGAGGAAGGAAAAGAGGTCACAAAGAGGGACTTAAAACGCCACCACGCTTGCGAGAAGCACACAGACGCTTTGCTTCCACCTTCCAAGCTTTCTGTTCTGGCACCTTTTGGTGACTGATGGATCTGTGCTATGCAGAACAGCATATTTTAAAAAATCTTATACCTGTTCTTTGATATGTATATTTTTGTTTGCCTTTTAATCTTGTTCCGAACCCTCTTGGGTCCTGGTTCTGGGGAAAGGAGCTAGCCAGCTAGCTAAATAGATAGATAGGAAATAGGGGGAAGGAGATGGAATCCTTTTCTGGGTCACGAGAATGCTCGTGGGTGAACTCCTTCTGGAGGAAATTACTTCTCTAATCTGGCTCTAAAGTCCCCGTGAAGACAAGGCCTGTACTGTACCTCTTTTCTGGATAAAGCTGGAAGAAATCGTCAGATGACGGTGGTCTCTTGCCATTCTCATCCTCGCCCTCGCTTAAGGAGTCTCTGGGACAACAAACAGATCCTTTACTAAAGCAGAAGGCAAACAAAACTTTGATTTGATATGAACTGCAACTCAATTAACAGACGGGCAACTCAAGGACCACCGACGCTTCCTGGCCACCCACAGCTCCTGCTCCTGCCTTGGGGAAAACCACAGACTACCTTTCTCTGAAGGACAGCTGCCCAGAACAAGGTGGCCATGGCGAACGGTGAAAAGGCAAGCAGGTAACTTGTTTAGTCGTTTAGTTGTGTCCGACTCTTCGTGACCCCACGGACCAGAGCACACCAGGCCCTCCTGTCTTCCATTGCCTCCTGGAGTTGTGTCAAATTCATGTT